TGTATGTGACTGAAATTATGGAGATGACCCTTAAAAAAGAACGTCTGATGTATGACAGAGAATACGGAACATTAGTGTCTGTAAAGTTTAAAAAAAGAAAAGATTTGATCAGGTTCATGTCCAAGAGGAGGGAAGATAGAGAGTAAGCAGAAGAAAAATAGAGAGAATGAAGATACATAGGTAAGAGGCGAGAGAAGAACGTGTGTGGCCGTGCGTTGGGCGAGGCGTAACGAAGTGGTGCGTGCGCGTGCGTACGTGTGTCTGTGTGTGTGTGTGAAGGAGAGAGAGAGGGGGGACAGGGTTGTATGACGGCGAGAGGAGAAGGACAGATACGAGCGATAGACCATATCCCGCCATGAAAGCGAAGAGAGAGAGGGTGATAATAAAGAGAGATGCGAGAGAAAGAGAGAGAGAGAGAGAGAGAGAAGAGAGAAGAGAGAGAGAGAGGGATATAAAGATTGAGAGAGGGAGGGAATTAGTAAGAGAGTGAAAGTGGGTGGCAAAAAAGCATTTTGGGCTGCAATTCAATATATTACAACCTGCTGAATATTATACTGTTTATAGTTTCTACATAGTTTGATGGGGTTGTTGGGGTGGAGGAATAGCAATCATGAATCGAAAGAATTTCTCCCACAAATTCTCCACTCTTCTCCACAAACCATAGACGCCTCACCTCCGACACCAGAATAGAAGATAGACAAATTCTCCACAAGATCACGAAAGGCTGCGGTCACAGAGGAGAAAATCACCATAAAGAATAACTCGGTGCTCACCCAAGGCTACCCGAACGCGCAAACTTCTATATCCCTGCTAAAGTTCACAAGCAAAGGCAACCGGGAGGACGCGGCACCCTATCCTCAAAATAACAAGTAGCCGCCATCAGAAAATGCATCTCCCTCCTTCGTGACACGCACATCAACACCATTGGTGCGCAAACATCACCTCGTACCCATAAAGTGACACGGTAGTTTGCCCTCTGCCTTCATCAGGAAACTATTACACCGCTACCGCCCGGATGCGCTTCTCTGTAACGCCTTGACCATTTAGCTCACATCTGACACTAAGCACGCCGCCCACGACGAAGGAATGCAAGCTTGCGCAAAGCCTGGAAAACACGACGGGCAGCCGCGGGACACCGCTCCAGCTGCCACTCCCTAGCGGCTAGCAGAACTTGAACCCTGACAAATCAACTTCCTCAGTTTTTAAAAACAACCCACCACTATTATTAACCAAAAATACAAGGTACAAGCAAATGGGTTTCCAAGATGGAGTCCTTAGCCGGCAACCTCTTCCCCGCAATGGACTGATGCTAGACCGCACGTTTCTAGGCCTCCAGCAAACCACCAACCGCTTCGTCTGGAACAGAGGAAGTACATCGACGATATGCTTCGTTATACCTGGACTTATGGCACGCGCCGCCTGAATGCATTTCGTCCAACACTAACGACTTCCATAATCACTATCAAATTCAACCTGAATCTCACAGCGCGATATGTCTCCGCCTTCCCTAGAGGGGTAACGCGATGGCGACAATGGGTCCTTTACACACAGACGTAATATTGTAAACGGCTAGCAGACTGTCCAGCGCCGTAAACCTCAAAGGAGCAGATTCAGTCCACCCTCAATGCTGCTCATATACAAACAATCCCCTACGGAACAATTCCCCCCTAAAAGGAATAATGCTCAAAAAAGCGGACGCAGGGAGTGAGGGGAAAGGCGAGGGGAAGGGCAAGGAAGAAGAGGCGAGGCCAGGAAGAGGAAGGAGAACCGGCCACAACGCCGCCTTCACACGCGCTGCCAGGAGTTTCAAGACAAACTCTTCCTGAAACGGAAATACAATTACAAGGCAAGCCTGCTAACAAGGCCATAACAAAAA